ACCATGCCAATGCGGCGCTCAGCAATCCCATTTTGCTGTGGTGAGTCCGGAAGCGTGAAGGTCTGGCGGATCCCCCGTGCACGACAGTAGTCTCGCAGAAGGCGAGAGGAGAACTCTCCGCCTCTGTCCGAGTGCAGACGCAGAACAGGAAAGTCAGAGCCGAAGCTCTTCCTGAGCTGGAGACGAGCCTCGCGGATCCAGTCGATCAGCACCTCAGTGACAGCACCCTTGCTGCGCAAGGGGAGGACTGTGGTGTAACGCGAGTAGTCGTCAACCACCAACAGGAAGTAGCGCTCGTAACCCTGCCCACGGACGGGGGCCGGGCCCCACACATCCATGTGAAGCGTCTGCAGCGGAGCCTCTGTCGGGGGGAAGTGGGAAGAGTGAGGAGCAGCCCGGAGGCGACCCTCGACACAGGGGACACAGGAAGGCCCTGGCCCGGGGGGGGGAGGAGGGAGAGACCGGGGAAGACCAGAGACAAGGACACGGGAAGCCATGCTCCGAAGACGAGCCAAGGAGGGGTGGCCGAGACGGTGGTGCCACAGGAGAGTCTCGTGAGACAGGAGGCGACAGGAACAGGGGGCAGACTCAGGACCTGACCGGGACGCAGCAGCAAACACCTGACCTGACGCAGCTACCTGACCAGACACAGGGACAGGAGGAGACGAAGTGGTCAGGGTGTAGAGACTCGACCCCGGCCGACGCGAAAAGGTGGCCAGGTGTCGGCCTGTGTCTGCGTCCGTGCAGTGGGTCACCCGTCGCCTCGCAGGAGTGAACTGGTGAACCCCCGCATCCTGTAGGTCCGCACCACTCACCAAGTTCGTAGAGAACGAGGGAAGGTACAGACCAGACAGGGTGCCCGAAGGGGCAGCCGGACACGGGAGGACAGTGGAGAAGTGAGACAGGACAGGACCCCCAAAGGGGTCAGCAAGGGAGACCGCAACCGGTCGGCCAAGTGGCGTGAGGGTAGTGCGGTCTCGAAAGAAGGAGCGAGAAGCCCCAGAGTCAAGTGTGAAAGTGAGGGAGGACGAGGGCGACGCAGTACCTGAGAGCGCAGTCTCACCAGCACCTGAGAGCGCAGGCTCACTAGTACCTGAGAGCGCAGACGCACTGGCACCTAGAGCAGCAGCCTCACAAGTACCTAGGGCAGCAGTACCAATGCCCGGGTCGGGCTGGAAACACCGGTAACCCTCATTCTCCTCACTATAAGTCACAGCATACATAGCAGAAAGGATAGCATCAAAATCAAGATCAAAGATCGCTACACCAGCCCTAAGGAGCTCATCCCAGCGAGGGATCTCACTAGCCCCGGGGAACTGCTGACGCCAAGCGTCCGTCAGGCGGCCAAAGCAGCGCTGGGTGGAGTGGGCACCCCCACACTGCTCACCCGCGCGGTCGCCGGAACGAAGAACGTAGGTGCAGGGACCAGTACCCCCACCCCTCTGACGCGCAGTGTACCACTCACGAAGCTGCTGAGGCGGAGGGATGTCCCGCGAACGCTGCTGCTGCTGCCGCTGCGAGCGCTGGCCACCACCACCGCCGCTACGCTGCTGGGTAACACCACGACCAGCTCCACCTCCTCCACCACCACCGCCTCCTCCGCCGCCGCCTCCACCGCCTCCACCTCCACCGCCTCCACCTCCACCGCCTCCACTCCCGCTGCTGCCTCCACCACCACCAGTGCCACCACCACCACCGTCTCCGCCGCTGCTGCCACCACCACCACCACCACTACCACTACTCCCGCCGCCACCCCCACTCCCTCCGCCGCCTCCGCCGCCACCGCCACCGCCCCCTCCAGCTCCGCCCGCGCCCTTGCCCCCCTTGCCCTTGCCAGAGCGACGTCTCCCACTAGGGGCAGACGCCGCGCCGACCGACTCAAGACCAAGCAGGTCGGCCGCAGCAGCAGAGGCAACAGAGGGCAGCAAGGGGGAAGGAGAGCACCCCTCAAAGATGGGGGTGCGAGGGTCACCACGAGAGGCACCGACAGCGACTATGCTCTTCTCCGCTGCGAGGAGGGCCTTCTCGAGGAGGTCGACGGTGAGAGTGGTGGGACAGACTGCGAGAAAGTGGTCCCTGACTACGCGGAGGGAGTCAGGGAGGCGTGCGACTACGTAGTAGAGACTGATGTACATGGGGGGGGGGTTCTTAGCGCAGAACTCAGCAGGAAGGGCGGCGCGGTAGCGAGTGTCACTAGTGCGGAGGTGCGTAATGAGGTCAGCGACAGTGGGAAAGGCAGAGAGGTCAGGAAAGAGGTAGGGAAGCATGAGACGGCTCAGTGCAGCAGTGGCAGGAGAGGAGTAGCGTGCAACTACAGCGTCGTACAAGGTCTGAGCACTCTTGTACTGACTAAATTGCGCACGCTCAGAGGTAGGGAGGTGGCGACGCACAGCAAGACGTGCAGCAGCATCGCGGGTGGCCCACTGAGAGCGGACAGTGGGATCAGCATCGGCAGCAGGAGCAGGAGAGGCGCCAGAGGTGAGGTCAAAGAGAGAAAGGCTGTCAGCTCTGTCGCACTGTAAGAAAAGCTGCAGGTCATCTAGCCAGACCTCAAAATCAATGGCGCGACCCTCGGCGTCAAAGGCTAGGACACTAGGGGTGGCCATGATGACGACAGCGAAGCAGTGCAAGCAGTAGGGAAAGAGGGCGCAGTGACAGAGGGACTGTGCTCACCAGGCAGGGCAGGCCGTGCAGCTCGACAGAAAAGCAGAGCGGCGACCGGGCGGCTCGGGTGTACAGCTGCTCAGCTCCCGGGCGGCTCGGCGGCAGGGCGGCTCGGGTGCAGGGCGGCTCGGCTCCCGGGCGGCTCGGCGACGGACGGCTCGGGTGCAGGGCGACTCGGCTCCCGGGCGGCTCGGCGACTGGGCGGCTCGGCTGCCCGGCCGCCCGACTGCTGCAGGTGAGGCGGCGGGGTCGCGTAAGAGAACCGGGGCGGGGCCGCGAAGGGGCCGGCGGTAGGGCCGCGTAGGAGCCGGGGCAGGGCCGCGTAGGAGCCGGCGGCAGGGCCGGCGGTAGGGCCGGCTTAGGAGCCGGGGCAGGGCCGCGTTGGAGCCGGCGGCAGGGCCGCGCAGGGGTCGGCGCAGGGCCGAGCAGAGGCCGGCGGCAGGGCCGTGAAGGAGCCGGGACGGGGCCGCGTAGGAGCCGGGGCAGAGGCCGCGTAAGGGGCCGGCGCGGGGCCGCGTAAGGGGCCGGCGGCGGGGCCGCGTAAGCGCCGGCGGCGGGGCCGAGTAGGAGCCGGCGGCGGGGCCGCGTAGGAGCCGGGGCAGGGCCGCGTAGGAGGCCGGCGCGGGGCCGCGTAAGGGGCCGGCGCGGGGCCGCGTAAGGGGCCGGCGGCGGGGCCGCGTAAGGGGCCGGCGGACAGGGCCGCGTAGGAGCCGGGGCGGGGCCGCAATGGAGCCGGTGGCGGGGCCGAGTAGGAGCCGGGGACGGGGCCGCGTAGGAGCCGGCGCGGGGCCGCTTAGGAGCCGGCGCGGGGCCGCGTAAGGGCCGCGTAAGGGGCCGGAGCGGGGCCGCGTAAGGAGCAGGCGGCGGGGCCGCGTAAGGGTCAGGGCGGGGCCGCGACAGAGTGGGCGGCGAGGCCGCAGGGGAGAGGGCGACTCGAGGGGTCGCTAAAAAAAAAACCGCGCCTCGGGGCGCGCTTCGGTGGGCCCAAAAAAAATCGGTCCTGGAGGGACCTAGCTCTGATACCATGTGAAACAATGAGAAGAGGAATGTGTGTGCTATGAATGAAGGCAGTACAAATATGAAACCCTAACTGGGTTGTACCCCCTATGGGATACCCCACTACAGCCTACACAATAGTATAAGCTATAGATATGTTCTGACAGGTGATTATGTCAAAACACATGCTGGTTTTTATTTAAGCTGATGTATCACTTGAATATGGCATTTCACACTCTAATGTGTGGGTTTTGTGCTGTCAGGTTATTTTAGCTGTGCTATGCTTTGATTTATATATTTTCTGGAGCAAATGCACAAGGCCATGTTTCTTACTTAGTCATGATGTAGTTGTGGTATGGCGTTTTGTTTTCTAACATATATATTATACATTTTTACAAATGGAAGGCTAATTACGAAAAATGGATACCCTGTAAAGGGGTTATAATGGACCTGGTAGCAATATGTAATAATTGTGTGCTCTGTAAATATAGGTTTTGCAAAGTGTATTTTCCCATAAATCAATGTTGTACTGGGCTAAATTATAACGAGGATCATTCCGAGTGTGTACAGCGCACGCAAAATATATTGTAGCCGATATAAACGTAAAACCTGTAACGGGAACCGACCTACTCAATGACGGGGTTTAGGCGGATTGCGTGCTAGACACGTGTGACCTAAATCTGCCCTCATAGTTACTTCTGGGTCAGTCTATCTGACCCGTACTTGACTTTTCCCGCCAAATTCTCACCCGTACCTGACCCGTAACTGACCCGTACCTGACCCGAAAGTCACTTTTGGGTTACCCATTCTGACCTCAAACTAGCCTAAAGTGTCAGTTCCAAAAGTAACTTTTGGGACATATTCCGAGATGTCCCGAATATTGCCCGAAAGTCACCTGGGGGCCCCTATTGGGTCAGAACATTTTGGAGAAGTTACAGCTGTGTGATTTTTGGAATGTTCACGAGAAATGAGGGGATCTCTCCGTACAAGTAGTTGATGTGCATTCGGCTGCGAGAGGAGCATCGATGGTGGGGACAGTCATCATGTGGAAGGAAAAAGGCTTGAGCAGTCATGAGAACTGAGGTGCCTCACAACAGCTCACGATATAGTTATGATCTCAAAAAAGAGAATAACGAAAAGAAAACCACAATAACAACACTAGTTGGTGCAGTGTACTAGGCATGAGCAGAAACTGAAGTCGGATCATGTAAGAGCGAAGCGAGTGTGAGCAAAACAAGGTGCAAGCCAGGACGTAAGTGACGATCTCGTGCTCTCGCCCCTCACCTCGAGCCCTTTCCTCCCTGGTCAGGCTCACTGTGCCACTCACATGTGGACCACACTCACATGTCGACCAGATTGGGCAAGGCTTTCATGCTTGAGGTAAAGGAGTCGATGCGGTAGTTGAAGAAGTTGGACGTCAGCGACCTGCGGGGGAGGGGCGAGCAGAGGGCAAAGGGGGCGAGCAGAAGGAAAAGGGGGGCGAGCAGAGGGCAAAGGGGGCGAGCAGAAGGCAAAGGGGGGCGTGCAGAGGGCAAAGGGGGCGAGCAGAAGGAAGAGGGGGCGTGCAGAGGGCGCAGGTGAGGTGAGGAAAAGGAGGTGAGAGAGGCTATTGCACTTGAACCTTCACCACACGTATCAATGCAACATGGCTCCACATGACCACAAAAGCAGGCCAAAATAGGGAAGGCATCATCGAATGCAGCAACATGGTGGTAGGAGAGCCATGTGAAAGCAAGTACAGCAGCATAAGAGTGAAGCAGAGGAGACTCACACTCGGGTGAGAGTCGTGAGCGCGGACATCTCAGCATGGATTGACCCCTTGAGGCCCAGGCCGTCCACAGCACTGATGCAAGGAAGGGATTGGGCCCACCCCACCCCACGTGTGACACCGAATGCAAGAGGGCAGATGAGTTATTATGCTACCCAATTGGGAGGGGACACACACAGACAGCAGTCAGAGCATGCACAAAGCTGATTGAAGCAGCAGGATGAAGGAGACACGGCATGGTGCGGGTGATGTAGAGGTGCGGCCGAGGTGTGCACTCACAATAGGACAGCCTTGCCGTCGCCGTTGCACCAGAGCCCTTCCCATTCGCCCGGGAAGCCCACCAAGCTTCCAAACAGGCGGCACGGGCTGGTGGCGGTCCACGTGGTGTACGTCACACCCAGCGTGCTCTTGATGTTCAGCAGGGCGGCGGCTGTTGGGGATGGCATGAGGAGAAAGGGAACTTACGCGAGAGGACCAAGGGATGGGTCGAGAGAGCAAGTGTGGCGGCGAGTGTAGGGGGTGGTGGAGCACGAAGCACCAAGGTTGAAGTGTGTACAAGTGGGCACAAAGGGGCGACTGACCGTCAACGGGGTGGATGGTCATGGGCACGTCCATGCAAGCTGGGTTCGTTTGCCCCACATTCAACGTCCCAGCCGCGATCAGAGCACTAGCGTCCTGCGGCAAACACGCCTTCCCGGGTCCGCACAGCGTGCCCGTGCAGTCAGTGCTGCCGCAGATGCTGCACTGGCCTGCAACCCTCGCTTGCCAAGCGCAGTTGCCCAGGTTAGAGAAGCAGTTGTAGTAGGCACTGCAAAGCTTCCAGGATGGGGACGGCATGACCCCAGCAAAGAAGTTCAGACCAATGTCCAGATACTTAAAGTTGGTTATGCTCGCTGGGAGCGTGCCCGTGAGGTAGTTGCATCGCAGCCACCTGAGGATGTGGGGTGGGGCAGGCAACCCGTATTGAGAAAGGGTCGGAATACCAGCGTCTACCTGCTTTGAGTGCAAACGCAGCACTAGTACCCTAAGATCTAGAGAAAGAAGACGAGCATTTTGCCATACTCACACATCGCTCAAAATGGGCAGAGTTGTGAACACACTCGGAAAACTCCCAGAGAAATAATCGTACTTCATGGATCTGCAAGGACAAGGGAGACACAAGCACACACACAATGGAAGGAGAGGACGAGTATGACGTACACAGCATTGGCACTGTGGCATCAGTGTATAGAAGCAAGTAACCACAACAACAAACCTGCAAGAACCCAGCAATACTCACACAGACTTCAAGTTGGTGAGCGTGGAGAAGTATTTGACGTAGGCGTCAAGGCTGCCATCCAGGAAGTTTGACGGAATCCACCTGCATGCAGCAAAGCAGCACAGCAAAGCAGCACAGCAGGGCAGCCCGATTGCGGTCAGTCTGACAGCAAGGCAGCCTGATTGTGGTCGGACAGCATAGACACAGAAACTTGGAGAGCTGCGGAGCATGCCTCATGCATGCCACACACGAAGAGACGGGAACAGTGAATTCCTCCTGCATACACTACAATGCATCCTCGGGTAACTCCCACAGCACGGAGCACTTACAGGCCGGTAAGAGTCGTGAGCTTAGAGATGTCTGAGGGGAAGCTCTTGCGCACGAGTTTTGCAGATTCCAGGTTGCTGGGAGCAGCCACACACACACACACACACACACACACACACAGATGTAGAAACGCAACGATACAGTGAGACGGAAATCATAAGCCGGCCGGGCAGACACAAACGAGTGCGAGCTTAAATGAATTGACCCAACACACTTCCCTGCCGCCTGCACTCACATCGAGTAGAGGCGGCCAAAAGGCGTGCAGGTCACTCTCTCCCACTCATTATAATTCGGAGAAGTGCCTTCAGCAAGGCAGGGATTGGTGGTGGCCCACGAGGTGAAGGTGAGCCTCATGGCCGACTTGGGGGGAAGCGCACGCGGTGATGAGATAGAGAGAAGTTGAAACGGTGAGGACAGGTAGAATACCCACCCACTGGCATTTATGGCTACAGGTATGCTTATTTATTGGTTGTGTGCTTAGACTAGTTGCTTAGCCGAGTGTAGCCAACGACTTACCTTGTTTGTTACTATATGTGCACTTATACTAACCACCGTTCAAGAAGAGATCTGAAGCAGGTGAGGTATTATTTAGGCACTCACCATCAGCTGCGTTCATGTAGTTGGTCCCGCCCGCGCACCCCATGAAGAGCAAGGGAAGCACCGGCGCATTCACAGTGCCCGCGGCATCATTTGCAGCCGCGTCCGGCATGCACACCTCTCCTGAGGCAGTGCAGAAGGGGCCCACGGCGTTGGTGGTGCCGCAGATGGCACAGTCCGCCGTAGGCCTCTGAGTGGAGCCAGCGGTGGCGCACTTGGAGGGCGTGAGCAGGCAGTTGTTGTTGCCGCCACAGTACGTGTAGGTGACTGCTGGCACGTTCGTGAGGAAGTTGTATCGCACGTCCAGCGTGCGAAGACCGCTGGAGAGTGCCGGCACGGTGCCTGTAAGGTAGTTGCTGGCAACGCCACTGGCCAAGGAAGAGAGCAGCGAGAGAGGGGTGGGAGGCGCTATAAGAAGCGGGCAAACGCGATGATCGGCCAAAGAAAGTGGGAAACTTCTCAAAGCAATGTGCAAGCATATGGTGCGGTGCACAGACTTACAACTGAGTGAATTTTGGGAGTCCCACGAGAAACGAGGGGACCTCGCCATACAAGTAGTTGTAGTGCAGGCGGCTGCAAGAGGAGCAGAGACAAGGTTGCCGGTATGAGATGATGAGGGGCGGCATGTAGAAGGGTAAGGCAAGCACAGGCATGACAGAAAGCACCTCATAACGAAAAAAGCAATATAAAAGGCATGAGCAGGTCAGAAGACAAAGAGTGAAGTGCGGTCAAAGCTGATACAAGACAAGATAGCTCCGCGAGTCTCCTCCTCTCACTCCCCCCTTGACTGCCACACGTTGCCACTCACATGTCGGCTAGTACTGGCAGGGCTTTAAGGTTGGTGGTGAATGAATCGAGGCGCTGGTGGAATAGATTTTTCTGCAGGTCGCTGTGAGGCGCAAGCAGAGGGTGAGGGAGGCGAGGTCATTGCTGCACTGCCAACTGCATGCATCACGGTTCGGCTAGGCACATATCTATGGATATGGGCATTCACTGCGTGTTGTCGCAAAAGGAACCACCCAGGTGCGGCCAGTCCCAAACAAGTCTTTTAAAGCGGATCCGTGAGAGCTTACAGGTAGGTGAGAGCTGAGAGCAAGGAAACAGCTGCTGGTAGTGAGCCCTTGAGGTTTGCGTAAGACACGCCTCTGATGACCAATGGGTTGGGAGGGCACAGCAACAGCAGATGAGAAGATGAGTGTGCTGTACAATCATGCTAACCACGTGCAGAAAGCGCTGATTTGCTGTGATGTGCAGAATCACGGAAACAGATGCAAAAGAACAAGTAAATTGTGCAAGTAAGATATGGCTGCTACATTATTTTTCAGAATATACTGAAAGCGGATTATTCAGACGTGCTCACATGCACACATTCTCACATGCACACATGCTCACAATGCCTTGCCGCGTGAGGCAAACACACTTTCGAAACAGAGGAGACTTGCAGAACCGGACATGGCTCAGTGAGCTGCGTGCGTGCAGTAGGCTTAAGCAAAGGAAAAACAGAAATTGATGTGCCACGACGAGGTTTCAGTCACAAACGAGGTAAGTGTAGATGAAGTCAAGTTCCGATCCGACCATGCCAACTCACATGCTCAGGACGCTGCCAGTGCTGTCTCACAGCACGCCGCTCCAGGTTGTGAATGTGGTGCTCTGCCCAGCGATTGTGCAGGGGACACTGGCCGCCCAGCTGGTGAGGCGAAGAACCTCCAGGCTCAGCACCCTCAGGCAAAGCACCTCCAGGCGGAGCACCCCCAGTCTCAACACCTCCAGGCTCAGCACCCCCAGGCCCAGCACCCCCAGGCTCAGCCCCCCCAGACTCAGTACCCCCAGGCTCCGCACCCCCTGGCTCAGCACCCCCAGGCTCAGCACCCCCAGACTCCGCACCCCCAGGCTCAGCACCCCCAGGCTCAGCACCTCCAGTCCCAGCACCCCCAGGCTCAGCTCCCGCAGCAGCACCAGAGTCACCAGTGACCTCGACAGGCTCGACCGCGTCTACCTGGGACACACCTGAAGGGGCAGGACCTTGAGGGGGGAGGGGGTCTACCGGGGGGGGACCTGGTACCAAGAAGAGCGGGGGCGGGTGGAGGGACGGAGTGCGGTAGGGTAAGAGGCGGTAGTAGGGTACCGACTCGTCGAACGTGACGTCCTGGGAGGACAGAACACGTCGAGTGGTGGGGTGGTAGAATTGCCACCCAGGGGCGTCGGGGGGGAACCCCAGGAAGACGCAGGGAGCAGCGCGAGGGGACAGCTTGTCCGCAGACAAGTCGCGGACAAACGCCCGAGATCCCCAGACCCGGAACGCCGACGCATCGCCAACCTGCCCCGTCCACAGCAGGGCTGGGGAGGTCTCTGGCCAGGAGACCCTGGGGTGGAGGTTGATCTGATGCGCCGCGTACCTGACCGCAAACGGCCACAGAAAATGGGGGGCAGCCGCATGCATCATAGACGTACGAGCGACGTCCATGACCATGCCAATGCGGCGCTCTGCAATCCCATTTTGCTGCGGTGAGTCCGGAAGCGTGAAGGTCTGGCGGATGCCTCGCGCACGACAGAAGGCACGCAGAAGGCCAGAGGAGAACTCGCCGCCTCTGTCCGAGTGCAGACGCAACACAGGAAAGTCCGAGCCAAAGCTCTGCCTGAGCCGGAGACGAGCTGCGCGGATCCAGTCGATCAGCACCTCAGTGACATCACCCTTGCTGCGCAAGGGGAAGACTGTGGTGTAACGCGAGTAGTCGTGAACCACCAACAGGAAGTAGCGCTCGTGACCGAGTCCACGGACGCGGGCAGGGCCCCACACGTCCATGTGAAGCGTCTGCAACGGAGCCTCTGTCGGAGGAAACTGGGAGGAGCGAGGGGCAGCATGCTGGCGCCCCTCGACACAGGGGACACAGGCAGGGCCAGGGCCCGGAGGAAGGGGAGGGAGGGACCGGGGGAGACGAGACACAAGAAGACGGGAGGCCATGCCTCTGAGCCGAAGCAGAGAGGGGTGGCCAAGGCGGTGGTGCCAGAGGAGAGTCTCGTGAGACAGACGGCGACACGAACAGGGGGCAGACTCAGGACCAGACCTGGACGCTGCAGCGAACACCTAACCAGACGAAGGGACTCTACCAGACTCAGCACCGGGAGGAGAAGCAGTGGTCAGTGTGTACAGGCTCGACCCTGGCTGACGTGTAAACGTAGCCAGGTGGCGACCTGTGCTAGCCTCTGTGCAGTGTGTCACCCGCTGACGAGCGGGAGTGAACTGGTGGACACCCACATCCTGTAGGTCAGCACCACTCACCAGGTTCGTAGAGAACGAGGGGTGGTAGAGACCAGTCAGGGTGCCAGAGGGAGCCGCCGGACACGGGAGGACTGTGGAGAAACGAGACAGGACAGGACCCCCAGAGGGGTCAGCCAGGGACACCGCAACCGGGCGACTAAGCGGCGTGAGAGTGGTGCGGTCCCGAAAGAAGGAGCGAGACGCCCCAGAGTCAAGGGTGAAGGTGTGAGAGGCCGAAGCCGACACAGTACCTGAGAGTGCAGACTCACTAGTACCTGGGAGCACAGACGCACTGGCACCTAGAGCAGCAGCCTCACTGGCACCTAACGCAGCAGTACCAATGCCCGGGTCGGGCGGGAAACATCGGTAACAGTCACCCTCATCAGTAACAGTCACAGCATACATGGCAGCAAGGATAGCATCAAAGTCAAGATCAAAGATGGCTACACCAGCCCTAGACAGCTCTCCCCAGCGGGGGATCTAAGAGGCCTCCGGAAACTGCTGGCGCCAAGCGTCGGTCAAGCGGGCAAAGCAGCGGCGGGCGGTGTGGGTGCCCCCACACTGCTCACCCGCGCGGTCGCCGGTGCGAAGGACGTAGGTGCAGGGACCGAACGCCCCACCGCGCTGACGCTGCGAGTACCACTCACGGAGCTGCTGAGGGGCGGGGACGTCGCGAGAGCGCTGCTGCTGCTGCTGCTGCTGCTGCTGCTGCTGGCGCTGACCACCCCCAGTGCTGCTCCGCTGGGACGAGCCACTCCGACCACCTCCACCACCGCCACTCCCGCCTCCGCCGCCACCGCCGCCACCGCCACCCTCTTCCCTGACCTTGCTGCCTTTCCTACAGTCGCTGACCTCTTTACCCACCTTCGCGCTAGTGACACTCGCTACCGAGCTGCGCTTCCTGCTGCCTTCTGCGCCGAAAACCCCCCTCTCATGTACATCACCCTCTACTTTCTAGTCACCCGTCTCCCTGAGTCCCTTCGTGCTGTTAGGGACCAGTTTCTCTCTGTCTGTCCCACCACCCTCACTGTCGACCTCCTCGAGAAGTCCCTGCTAGCGGCCGAGAAGAGCATCGTCACGGTAGGGGCCTCTCGTGGTGACCCTGGGTGGCGCACGGGCGGCTAGCTCACGGGCGGCCCTGGGTGGCGCACGGGCGGCTCTGGGCAGCGTGCGGGCGCTAGGGCGCGAAGGCGCTAGGGCGGGCAGCGGGTCGGGAGAGTGCTAGGGCGCAAGGGCGGGCAGCGCGCGGGCGCTAGGGCGCGAGGGCGGGCAGCGGGGCGCGGGCGCTAAGGCGGCGCTCGGGCTGCTAGGGCGGGCGGCGCGCTAAGGCGGCGCTCGGGCCGTAGGGCAGATCGAAAAAAAAAAGGAGAGCAAGGGCCCGGAGCGCGCTCCGGGCAGAAAAAAAAAGTTTGATGTGGTGGGCCCTAAGCACAGTTCCCATGGGGGAACCTGCTCGATACCATGAGAAAGTTAGAACGAGAATGAAATGACTATGAACGAAGTGAGTACAAATAGGAAACCCTAGTTGGGTTGTACCCCCTATGGGATACCCCACTATAGCCTACACACATAAGTAAGCTATAATATTCTGACAGCTAACCCACTGTAGCCTAAACAAGCACAACATATATGATGTTTGACAGTTGGTCGCCGGCGAACCCATCCTGTTCAGAAACCACGCGAGGGGGTTAATTCGAAAAGCGCGGAACTGGTGCTTACCAGAAATCGGCGTCGAATTGGTCGCCCCCGGCGGTTTTTCGAGGCGATTTTTTCCGCGACCGCTGCTTAGCCGAGAGTCGTCGAGTGAGAACGGCTCTCATTACCAAGTGTCACAGGATCGAATTCTCAATCAAAACTCGTCACTAAAACTGAATACAAGGCATTTTTATACTCGGAAAATACAAGGATAAACGAGATAAAACGAACCTTCGGGAACACGCCCTTCCCGATACTACAATCACAAGTGCGCACAAACACGCAAGGCTATTGGAACTTGGGATTACGCCCAGATTACACCGTATACACCACTGTCGGCGCTGTCGGTGCCGTATAATAGGTATGTCGGTGGGAAAAGTAGGAAATAAGAGAAATAAATAGAAGGCTCTAGAAAATAGAATAGTAGGCCGATTGAGATGAGATAAAAACCAAAATAAAGAGGAGAAAAGGGAGAATAGGATAACGGAAAATATAATAGTGAGAAAATATTATAACAGGGACGTCCTCTCACAAACAAGGTCGCAATTGTGGCTACATTGCCGTGACCTTACAAGATTTGGTTATTTTGTCTGTTTACGAAGGCGCAAAAATGTTTCGTGTGCGTGTCAGGTTTTTTGTCTGCATGTTTTTTTTTTTTTTTTGCGCGTGTCAAACGCAATTTTCTGAAACATCTACGGAGCTCTAAATCTAAGCAGGGGCTGAAAAAAAAAAAAAAAAAAAAAAAAAAACCCTAGAGGCAGGAACGCAATTTGGGAGGCATCAACCCTAAACACGGGAAGCATGGTGTTTAGGGTTAATGCTTTGAATGTGGTGGAATTCGGGAGGGATCAACCCTAAACACGGGAACTTTCAAGGTGTTTAGGGCTGATGCATTGAAAGTGTGCCTGGCTCCCTACGGAATTTAGTTCGTTTTACACCGTAATAAAAACCAGACCCAACAAAAACAACATAAGACAAGCCTTGTCTGCGCGATCAGACTGAAGTGACGTAACACGTCGCAAAATTTGTCTTTGCTGAAAGGATCGAACCCCAAGCTGCAATCCCGCAATTCTGGCCGTAAAACCAAATGGCACCTGTAACGTCGACATGAACTCGTTCGCAGCATGAAAATAACGTGAAAGCGCATGTAGGTCGATCCATTTGGACGAGGTTCGGTCGCCCTACCTGCGGTGCGAGTTTGGTCGATGGGATTGAGAGAAGTTCGCGCGCCGGCGCGTCGCGCAATTTCGCCGTTCATCCTAGATCAACCATACACTACATTGTTCATCTGGACCACGCGGTGCGCGATGCATGCTGCTTCTAGAAACAGAGGCCGGTGGTGGACGTAAGCCAATCCTGACAGAAGTCAGAGTTCAAACAGAAAGGCTTCACATAGAACACTGAGGGCGGGTCACCCTTTTTTTTTTCATGGCTCGTTTGACGTGGTTGCTGTCAGAACATTATAGCTTATGCATATTGTGTAGGCTATAGTGGGGTAGCCCATAAGGGGTACAACCCAATTAGGGTTAGTACATGTACCCAATTCATTCATAGTTCATCCATTCCTTGTTTCTTATCATGGTATCGAGCAGGTTCCCTAACGGGAACGATTCCTAGGGCCCACCACTACGAAATTTGTTTCCTGCCCGGAGCGCGCTCCACTCAGCCCGAGTCGCGCTCCGTGTGCTCTCCCTACCGGCGCGCCCTCGCTAGGCCCCTCACGGCCCCGTCGCGTCGCCCCTAGCGGCCCTCTCACGGCCCGTCGCGCCGCCCTTACGGCCCGTCGCGCCGCCCTTACTGGCCCGTCGCGCCGCCCCTTTCTGCGGCCCAGTCGCGCCGCCTCCTTCGCGGCCCCGTCGTACCGCCCTCAGCGGCTCGTCGCCGCCTCCTTCAGCGGCGTCGCCGCCTTCCCCCTTGCGGCCCGTCGTCGCCTCCCCCCTTGCGGCCCGTCGCCGCCTCTTACGGCGGCCCCACCGACCCCGCGCGCCGCCCTAGCGGCCTCTTGCGCCGCCTGTCGGCCCCGCTTGCCGCCCTTGCGGCCCTTCGAGCCGCCCGTCGGCCCACCGTGAGCCGCCCTAGCGGCATCGACGCCCCCCTTCCCGGCCCCGACGCCACCTTGGCTGGCCCCTGCGCCTGCTCCTACGGCCCCGGCGCCTGCGCCTACGGCCCCGGCCCCTGCTCCTACGGCCTCGGCGCCTTCTCCTACGGCCCCGGCGCCTGCTCCTACGGCCCCGGTGCCGCCCTTCCCGGCTCCGACGCCGCCTCCTACCGGCCCCACCGCCGTCCCTGATCAGGAGCCGCAGCCGCCAAGCCACCCAGCGACCGAGCCGCCGGGCCGCCGAGCCGCCCAGCAACCGAGCAGCCGAGCCGCCCAACCGCCGAGCCGCCCAGCAGTAGAGCCGCCGAACCGCCCAGCAGCCGAGCCGCCGAGCCGCCCAGCAGAGGAACCGCCGAGCCGCCCAGCAGCCGAGCAGCCGAGCAGCCGAGCCGCCGAGCCGCCCAGCAGCCGAGCCGCCGAGCCGCCCAGCAGCCGAGCCGCCGAGCCGCCCAGCAGCCGAGCAGCTGAGCCGCCGAGCCGCCTAGCAGCCGAGCCGCCGAGCCGCCCTGCCGCCGAGCCACCCGAGCCGCCGAGCCGCCCTGCAGCCGAGCCGCCGAGCCGCCCTGTCCAGTAAGAGCAGGGCCTCTACCCCTGCACTGCCCTTACCCTACTGTTCGTACTGCTAGTCTACTGCTGTCATGGCTACCCCTAGTGTCCTAGCTTTTGACGCTGAGGGTAGGGCCATTGACTTTGACGTCTAGGTCGACGACCTGCAGCTTTTCTTACAGTGCGATAGGGCAGACGGCCTCTCCCTCTTTGACCTCACTTTTGGTGCCTCTCCTGCCCCCGCTGCTGATGCTGACGCCACTGTTCGCTCACAGTGGGCCACCCGCGATGCTGCTGCACGTCTTGCTGTGCGTCGCCACCTGCCTACCTCTGAGCGTGCACACTTTAGCCAGTACAAGAGTGCTCAGACCTTGTACGACGCTGTAGTTGCACGCTACTCCTCCCCTGCCACTGCTGCACTGAGCCGCCTCATGCTACCGTACCTCTTCCCTGACCTTGCTGCCTTTCCCACAGTCGCTGACCTCATTATGCACCTCCGCACTAGTGACACTCGCTACCGCGCTGCGCTTCCTGCTGAGTTCTGCGCCAAGAACCCCCCCCCCCATGTACATCACCCTCTACTACATAGTCACCCGTCTCCCTGACTCCCTTCGCGTAGTCAGGGACCACTCCCTCTCAGCTTGCCCCACCACTCTCACCGTTGACCTCCTCGAGAAGGCCCTCCTAGCAGAAGAAAAGAGCATAGTCGCTGTAGGAGCCTCTCGTGGTGACCCTCGCACCCCCATCTTTGAGGGGTGTTCCCCCTCCCCTCTTTTGCCCTCTGTTGCCTCTGCTGCTGCGGCCGACCTCGTTGGTCTGGAGTCGGTCGGTGCGGCGTCTACCCCTAGTGGGAAGCGTCGCTCTGGCAAGGGCAAGGGGGGCAGGGGCGCTGGAGGAGCTAGCGGGGGCGGTGGAGGCACCGGTGGAGGCAGTGGAGGGGGTGGGGGTGGTGGTGGGAGTGGTGGCGGGGGTGGAGGTGTCGGCGGCGGCAGTGCAGGCGGAGGCGGCGGCGGCGGTGGCGGTGGGAGCGGAGGTGGTGGAGGTGGCGGAGGTGGAGGAGGCGGTGGCGGAGGAGGAGAAGGAGGAGGTCGTGGCTCTTCGCAGAGGAGTGGCTCCGGTGGTGGTCAGCGCCAGCAGCAGCAGCGCAGTCATGAGACCCTGTCCCCTCAGCAGCTCCGTGAGTGGTACGCTGCACGCCAGCGGGGTGGGGGTACTGGTCCGTGCACCTACGTCCTGCGCACCGGCGACCGTGCGGGTGAGCAGTGTGGGGGTGCGCACCCCACCCAGCGCTGCTTTGGCCGCCTGACGGACGCTTGGCATCACCAGTTCCCTGAGGCCACTGAGATCCCTCTCTGGGGCGAGCTATCTAGGGCAGGGGTAGCTATCTTTGACCTTGACTTTGATGCTATTCTTGCTGCTATGTATGCTGTGTCTATTAGTGATGAGGGTGACTGTTACCGGTGTTTCCCGCCCGACCCGGGCATTGAGACTGCTGCTCTAGGTGCTGGTGAGGCTGCTGCTCTTGGTGCTAGCGAGGCTGCTGCTCTAGGTGCTAGTGCGTCTGCTTCCTCCGGTACTGGTGAGTCTGCGCTCTCAGGTACTGCGTCGGCTTCGGCCACCCACACCTTCACACTTGACTCGGGGGCTTCTCGCTCCTTCTTTCGAGACCGCACCACACTCACGCCGCTTGGTCAGCCAGTTGCAGTCTCCCTGGCAGACCCCTCTGGGGGTCCTGTCCTTGCTCACTTCTCCACTGTCCTCCCGTGTCCGGCGGCCCTCTCTGGCACCCTGTCTGGTCTTTACCTCCCCTCGTTCTCTACGAACTTGGTGAGTGGTGCTGACCTACAGGATGCGGGGGTTCACCAGTTCACTCCTGCGAGTCAGCGGGTGACCCACTGCACGGACGCTCGGACAGGCCGACACCTGGCCACGTTTACACGTCGGCCGGGGTTGAGCATGTACACACTGACCACTGCGTCTCCACCAGTCACTCATCTGGTCACGTAGCTGCGTCGGGTCAGGTGTTTGCTGCAGCGTCCAGGTCTGGTCCTGAGTCTGCCCCCTGCTCGTGTCGCCTCCTGTGTCACGAGACTCTGCTCTGGCACCACCGCCTTGGTCACCCCTCCCTGCTTCGTCTCCGAAGCATGGCCTCCTGTGTCCTTGTCTCTGGTCTTCCCCGGTCCCTCCCTCCCCTTCCTCCGGGGCCTGGCCCTACATGTGTCCCCTGTGTCGAGGGGCGGCAGCGGGCTGCCCCTCACTCTTCCCAGTTTCCTCCGACAGAGGCCCCGCTGCAGACGCTTCACATGGAAGTGTGGGGCCCAGCCCGCATCCGTGGACAGGGTCACGAGCGCTACTTCCTGCTGGTGGTTGACGACTACTCGCGTTACACCAAGTCTTCCCCTTGCGCAGCAAGGGTGATGTCACTGAGTTGTTGATCGACTGGATCCGCGCAGCTCGTCTCCAGCTCAGGCGGAGCTTCGGCTCGGACTTTCCTGTTCTGCGTCTGCACTCTGACAGAGGCGGAGAGTTCTCTGGCCTTCAAAGAGCCTACTATCGTGCACGAGGCATCCGCCAGACCTTCACGCTTCCGAACTCTCCACAGCAAAATGGGATTGCAGAGCGCCGCATTGGCATGGTCATGGACGTCGCCCGTACGTCCATGATGCATGCGGCTGCCCCCCATTTTCTGTGGCCGTTTGCGGTTCGGTACGCGGCGCATCAGATCAACCTTCAGCCCAGGGTCTCCATGCCGGAGACCTCCCCAGCTTTGCTGTGGACGGGGAAGGTTGGCGATGCGTCTGCGTTCCGTGTCTGGGGATCTCGGGCGTTTGTCCGCGACTTGTCTGCAGACAAGCTGTCCCCTCATGCTGCTCCTTGCGTCTTCCTGGGTTTCCCCCCTTACGCGCCAGGGTGGCAGTTCTACCACCCCACCTCTCGCCGTGTTCAGTCCTCCCAGGACGTCACGTTCGACGAGTCGGTCTCCTACTACCGTCTCTTCCCCTACCGCTCTCCGTCCCTCCCCCCGCCACCGCTCTTCCTTGTGCCAGGTCCCCCCACGGTAGACCCCCTCCCCCCTCAGGGTCCTGCCCCTTCAGGTGTGTCCCAGGTAGACGCTGTTGAGCCTGTCGAGGTCGCTGGTGACTCTGGTGCTGCGGAGGGTGCTGAGCCTGGGGGTGCTGACTCTGAGGTGCTGAGCGTGTGGGTGCTACGCCTGGGGGTGCTGAGCCTGAGGGTACTACAACTGGGGGTGCTGAGCCTGGGGGTGCTGAGTCTGGGGGTGCAGAGCCTGGGGGTGCTACGCCTGGGGGTGCTGAGCCTGGGGGTGCTGAGCCTGGGGGTGCGGAGCCTGAGGGAGCTGGGCCTGCTGGTGCTGTGCCTGGCGTTTCTCCGGGTGCTTCGTCTCACCGGGAGCCACTCTCTCCACAGGAGCTGCGTGAGTGGTTTGCCCGGCGCTGGAGGCGAGCTGGTGGAGCTGGAGGTGCTGCGGGTACTGGAGGTTCTGTTGCTGCTGAGGGAGCTGGTGCCACGGGTCCCGGAGGTGCTCGTACTGGGAGTACTGGAGCTGCTGGGCCTGCGGGTACTTTTGGAGCTGGAGCTGCTGCGGGTGTTGGCGCGGAGGCTACTGCTGTCGGTCCTGGAGGCGGTCCTGCTGGGGGTACTACTGGTGCTACTGGAGGTACTGGAGCTGGAGCTGCTACTGGTGCTAGTGCTGCGACTGGGGATGCTGGTGCTGTCCCTGCTGTGTCTGGAGTCACCGGGCGGCCTCGGTCGTACTTCGTTCCGCTCCTTCAGCAGGTTCTTGGTCTCTCGTCCTCTACTGGTCCTCCTCCTCCCTTAGAGTGTCCACAGCCTGTCCCGTCGCAGTTACAGTTACAGCCGGCCTCCCCACTGCCTTCTCCATCTCCCTACACTGGTCCTACTGGAGGTCTTGCTGAGCGTCGTGAGCCTGCGTCTCGCCCTGCGTCGCCTGTCCGTGCTGCTCGCACTAGTGGTCGCGGTTCGCGTCAGCGTCCTCCTCCTGTCCCTGGCACGCACCGGATGTCTCTGCGTCCGTCCACTGCTCCTCTGCGTGCCCCTTTGCCTTCTCCTCCTGAGTCTTCTCTTCCTGCTCTTGCCGACCCGGAGTCGGGCTCTCTTCGTGCTGCCAGTCCTACTGTCACGCACCTCCTTGCTACTTTTGTCACTGACCCTTCCTTTGAGTCTAGTGCTGCATCTGCCTTAGTTGCTGAGCTTGTCGACTTTGCTGCTCGCTGTCGCCTAGACTACGCCGCCAGTCTTGTTGCTGAGTCTGAGTCTGTCTGTCCTCCGTCCGTCGGGGGTGAGTGTGCCCTTGGCACGGACGTCCTCGAGGACAGGCAGAAGGAGTTCCAGTGCTTGGCCGCTGCTTCACCTCATCTCGTGTCCATACTGCTTACCCCTGAGGGAGACCCGGATGCACTTGACATCCCGACTCCGCGCTCTTACGCGGAGACGATAGAGGGTCCCTACTCCTCTTAGTGGCAGGCAGCTATGGACGCAGAGATGGCTTCCTGGAAGTCCACAGGCACCTACGTTGACGCTGTTCCCCCTCCTGGGGCGAACATCGTTAGTGGCATGTGGATTTTCAGGGTGAAGCGACCGCCGGGTTCTCCGCCTATCTTCAAGGCGCGTTACGTGGCTCGTGGCTTCAGTCAGCGGCAGGGAGTTGACTACTTTCAGACCTTCTCTCCCACCCCGAAGATGACTACTCTTCGGGTACTGCTGCACCCTCTTCGCTGCAGCCATGTGCTCTGGTCGCTGTCTCCCAGGAGCAACATAGCGTGCCAAGATGCTAAGAGGGTATGCAAGGTCAGGTCGAGTGCAGGTCATCAGGTACATGAGGCAGCCAACAAGCTCTGGGTTCGGGCCACTCGGCTCTACGGACTCATCCGAAGGCAGAGCTGAGAGCGAGTGGCGAGTAGACAGAGGAGTGGCCTGAGGCGAGGAGTACGTGAAGTCGAAGCGCTGAAGGACCTGCTGCACCATGTGTGACTGAGTCAGGGTAATGGTGCGCTGTGCTCTGTCCCGGGTGATCTGCAAGCCAAGATAGCTGCGCAGTTCACCCAGGTCTGTGCACGTGTGTCTCTTCTGCAGCTCGGACTTCACGTGGGCGAGTCCAGCAGTGTCAGCAGTAGCAAAGACCAAGTCGTCGACGTACACGAGGATGTAGAACGGCGGCAAAGAGGTGTCGGTACGCAGAAACAGCGACGGGTCGGCAGTAGAAGGAGCAAACCCAAAAGCCGCAAGTGTAGTCCTCAGTGTGTCGTGCCACTCACGGGGCGCCTGGCGGAGACCGTAGACTGGCCGCTGGAGGCTCCACTGGGTACCAGGAGGAAACGACCCAGTGAAGCCAGGTGGGCGGCGCAGCCAGATCTCCTCGTGCAGGCTGCCCTGTACTAAAGCAGTGCTGAAGTCAAGAGAGTGAATCTTGTAGTCGTGCTGAGCGGCGATGTGCAGCAGCACCCGAAGAGTGGTCATCTTCGGGGTGGGAGAGAAGGTCTGAAAGTAGTCAACTCCCTGCCGCTGACTGAAGCCTCGAGCCACGTAATGCGCCTTGAAGACAGGCGGAGAACCCGGCGGCCGCTTCACCCTGAAAATCCACATGCCACTGACGATGTTCGCCCCAGGTGGGGGAACCCTGTCGACGTAGGTGCCTGTGGACTTTGAGGAAGCCATCTCTGCGTCCATGGCTGACTGCCATTGTGAGGAGTAGGGACCCTCGATCGCCTCAGCGTACGATCGAGGAGTCGGGATGTCTGGTGCATCCGGGTCTCCCTCAGGGGCAATCAGCATGGACACGAGATGAGGCAAAGCAGCAGCAAAACACTTGAACTCCTCCTGCCTGTCCTCAAGGACGTCCGTGCTAAGAGCACACTCACCCCCAACGGACGGAGGACAGACAGACTCAGACTCAGCAACCAGAGTAGCGGCGTAGTCTAGACGACAGCGCGCAGCAAAGTCGACAAGCTCAGCAACTAAGGCAGACGCAGCACTCGACTCAAAGGAAGGGTCAGTGACTACAGTAGCCAGGAGACGCGTGACAGTAGGACTGGCAGCACGAAGAGAGTCAGACTCCGGGTCGGCAAGAACAGGAAGAGAGGACTCTGGAGGAGACAGCAACGGGACACGCAGAGGAGCAGTGGAAGGACGCAGTGCCATCTGGTGTGTGCCTGGGACCGGAGGAGGACGCGGACGCGGAATACGACTACTAGTGCGAGCAGCACGAACAGGCGACGCAGGACGAGACGCAGGCTCACGACGCTCAGCAAGACCTCTAGTAGGACCAGTGTAGGGAGAAGGATGTGAAGAATGAGGAATGAATGAACTAGCAAGCAGGTGGGTACAAGTAGGAAAACCTAGAAGTGTTGTACCCCATATTGTCTACCCCACTACAGTCTACACAGACTATAGCATATGAGTTTGACACACCCCCATAGGCAAAGTGGGGGAAAACAAGAGGTCACAAGACCAGTCAAGCAAAGCAAAGCAAGCTCAGGGTGGATCACAACGTCACCATACACTCCGAGCACAAGAGCAAAGCCAAAAGGCCAGTTCACATGCAAGATCATATATAAAGGTAAACAAGCAAGTGCAGGTATAGAAAGATCACAGTACAAGCAAGGTCAAGAAGTGAGCAAGTGAGGCCAAGTAGGCACAAGACCTAACATCGTACAGAAGCGCTGATGATCACAAGGCGGAAGTGCCTTGGTAAAGATATCAGCAGTGTTGGCCTCAGAGGCCACGTAAGCAAGGCGCAACTAACCACGTTGCTGCAGCTCACGAGCAAGGAAGTAGCGAAGAGCAATGTGCTTTGTTCTGTGCTCCAATCTGTGCTCCCGACATAAGGTCAGCATGGCCTCGTTGTCTACGTACAGAACTGGAGGAGAACGAGGCGGCTCTCCTAGGTCACTCAGCAGGTAGGTGAGCCAGCGTAGCTCCTGTGCAGCCATGGCCCCCGCGTAGATCTCAGCCTCACAACTGGAGCTGAAAACAGAAGACGAGCGGATAGACCGCCACGAAACAGAGCCGGAGCCAAGGCTGAAGGTGTAACCCTGTGACGACCGCTGCAGAGCCTGGTCGTCAGCCCAAGAAGCGTCAGCGTGACCTGTGAGGACCACTGGACGTCGCCCTCCAAGCACTAGCCCCATGCTCGACGTACTGCACAAGTAGCGCAACACCCTCTTCGCTGCAGCCATGTGCTCTGATCGGTGTCTCCCAGGAGCAACATAGCATGCCAAGATGCTAAGAGGGTATGCAAGGTCAGGTCGTGTGCAGGTCATCAGGTACATGAGGCAGCCAACAAGCTCTGGGTACGGGCCACTCGGCTCTACGGACTCATCCGAAGGCAGAGCTGAGAGCGAGTGGCGAGTAGACAGAGGAGTGGCCTGAGGCGAGGAGTACGTGAAGTCGAAGCGCTGAAGGACCTGCTGCACCATGTGTGACTGAGTCAGGGTAATGGTGCGCTGTGCTCTGTCCCGGGTGATCTGCAAGCCAAGATAGCTGCGCAGTTCACCCAGGTCTGTGCACGTGTGTCTCTTCTGCAGCTCGGACTTCACGTGGGCGAGTCCAGCAGTGTCAGCAGTGGCAAAGACCACGTCCTCGACGTACACGAGGATGTAGAACGGCGGCAAAGAGGTGTCGGTACGCAGAAACAGCGACGGGTCGGCTGTAGAAGGAGCAAACCCAAGAGCCGCAAGTGTAGTCCTCAGTGTGTCGTGCCACTCACGGGGCGCCTGGCGGAGACCGTAGACTGGCCGCCGGAGGCTCCAGTGGGTACCAGGGGGAAACGACCCAGTGAAGCCAGGTGGGCGGCGCATCCAAATCTCCTCGTGCAGGGTGCCCTGCAGGAAAGCTGTGCTGAAGTCAAGAGAGTGAAGCTCGTAGTCGCGCTGAGCGGCTATGTGCAGCAGCACCCGAAGAGTAGTCATCTTCGGGGTGGGAGAGAAGGTCTGAAAGTAGTCAACTCCCTGCCGCTGACTGAAGCCACGAGCCACGTAACGCGCCTTGAAGACAGGCGGAGAACCCGGCGGCCGCTTCACCCTGAAGATCCACATGCCACTGACGATGTTCGCCCCAGGTGGGGGAACCTCGTCGACGTAGGTGCCTGTGGACTTCCAGGAAGCCATCTCTGCGTCCATGGCTGACTGCCATTGAGAGGAGTAGGGACCCTCGATGGCCTCAGCGTACGATCGAGGAGTCGGGATGTCTGGTGCATCCGGGTCTCCCTTAGGGGCAATCAGCGTGGACACGAGATGAGGCAAAGCAGCTGCAAAACACTGGAACGGAACGCAGACGCATCGCCAACCTTCCCCGTCCACCGCAAGGTGGGGGAGGTCTCGGGCAAGGAGACTCGGGGCTGAAGGTTGAGCTGATGCGCTGCGTACTGAACCGCAAACGGCCACATAAAATGGGGGGCAGCCGCATGGATCATAGACGTACGAGCGACGTCCATGACCATGCCAATGCGGCGCTCAGCAATCCCATTTTGCTGTGGAGAGGCAAGAAGCGTGAAGGTCTGGCGGATGCCCTGCGCACGACAGAAGGCTCCCAGACGGGCAGAGGAAAACTTTCCACCTCTGTCAGAGTGCAGACGCAGAACAGGAAAGTCCGAGCCGAAGCTCTGCCTGAGTTGGAGACGAGCTGCGCGGATCCAGTCGATCAACACCTCAGTGAAGTCACCCTTGCTGCGCAAGGGGAAGACTGTGGTGTAACGCGAGTAGTCGTCAACCAACAACAGGAAGTAACGCTCGTGCCCCTGTCCACGGACGCGGGCGGGGCCCCACACGTCCATGTTGAGAGTCTGCAGCGGAGCCTCTGCCGGAGGAAACTCGGAGGAGTGAGGGGCGGCGCGCTGTCGCCCCTCGACGCAGGGGACGCAGGTAGGGGCAGGTCCCGGAGGAAGAGGAGGGAGAGACTGGGGGAGACCAGAGACAAGGACACGGGAGGCCATGCCCCGGAGACGAGGCAGGGAGGGGTGACCAAGACGGGGGTGCCAAAGGAGAGTCTGGTGGGACAAGAGACGACACGAGCAGGGAGCAGACTCAGGACCAGACCTGGACGCTGCAGCAAACACCTGACTCGACGCAGTTACCTGGCCAGACTCAGCAGCCGGAGGAGACTCAGTAGTAAGTGTGTACAGGCTCGAACCTGGCCGACGGGTGAACGTGGCCAAGTGTCGGCCTGTCCGAGCACACGTGCAGTGGGTCACCCGCTGACTCGTAGGATTGAACTGGTCAACCCCCCTATCCTGTAGGTCAGCTCCACTCACCAAGTTTGTAGAGAACGAGGGGAGGTAGAGACCTGACAGGGTGCCAGAGGGGGCTGCCGGGCACGGTAAGACAGTGGAGAAGCTAGCAAGGACAGGACCCCCAGAGGGGTCCGCCAGGGAGACTGCAACCGGCCGACTAAGCGGCGTAAGCGTGGTGCGGTCTCGAAAGAAGGAACGGGAAGCACCCGAGTCAAGGGTGAAGGTGTGTAAGACCTGAGCCGACGTAGTACCTGAGAGAGCAGACTCACCAGCACCTGGGGCAGCAGACGCACTAGCACCTGGGGCAGCAGACGCACTAGCACCTAGAGCAGCAGCCTCACCAGCACCTAGAGCAGCAGTCTCAATGCCCGGGTCAGGCGGAACACACAGGTAACAGTCACCCTCAACACTAGCAGACACAGCATATATGGCAGCAAGAATAGCATCATAGTCAAGATCAAAGATGGCAACCCCCGCCCTAGACAGATCTCCCCAGCGACGGATCTCTGACGCCTCAGGGAACTGGTGACGCCACGCGTCCGTCAGGCGTCCGAAGCAGCGCTGGGTGGAGTGCGGGCCCCCGCACTCCTCACCAGCGCGGTCGTCGGTACGGAGGACGTAAGTGCAGGGGCTAGTACCCCCACCGCGCTGACGCGCAGCGTACCACTCACGAAGCTGCTGAGGGGTCAGGGTCTCACGACTGCGCTGCTGCTGCTGGCGTGGACCACCACCAGACCCACTCCTCTGCGCAGAGTCACGACCAGCTCCACCGCCGCCGCCGCCGCCGCCTCCGCTGCCTCCGCCACCTCCGCCGCCTCCGCCACCTCCGCCGCCTCCGCTCCCTCCGCCACCACCGCCGCCTCCTCCGCCTCCACTGCTGCCACTGCCGCCACCACCCCCGCCACCACTCCCACCATCACCCCCACCCCCTCCACTGCCTCCACCACCACCTCCACCGCCCCTGCTAGCCCCTCCAGCTCCCTTGCCCCCCTTGCCTTTGCCGGTGCGGCGTCCCCCGCTAGGGGCAGACGCAGCGCCGACCCCGTAGAAACCAACGAGGTCGGCAGCAGCAGCAGAAGCAACAGAGGGCAAGAGGGGGGAGGGGGAACACCCCTTAAAGACAAGGGTGCGAGGGTCACCACGAGAGGCTCCTACAGCAACTATGCTCTTCTCTGCGGCTAGGAGGCGCTCCTCGAGGAGGTCAACGGTGAGTGTGGTGGGGCAAACTGAGAGGAAGTGGTCTCTGACTAAGCGAAGAGAGTCAGGGAGCCGGGTGACTATGTAGTAGAGGGTGATGTACATGGGGGGGGGGGGTTCTTGGCGCAGAACTCAGCAGGAAGCGCAGCGCGGTAACGAGTGTCACTAGTGCGGAGGTGCGTAATGAGGTCAGCGACTGTGGGAAAGGCAGCAAGGTCAGGGAAGAGGTACGGTAGCATGAGGCGGCTTAGTGCAGTAGTGGCAGGGGAAGAATAGTGTGCAACTACAGCGTCGTACAAGGTCTGAGCACTCTTGTACTGGCTAAAGTGCGCACACTCAGTGGTCGGTAAGTGGCGATGCACAGCAAGACGGGCAGCAGCATCGCGTGTCGCCCACTGTGAGCGAACAGTGCTGTCAGCAGTAGCAGGCGGGGCAGGGGAGGCACTAGAGGTGAGGTCGAACAGTGAGAGGCCGTCTGCCTTATCGCACTGGAGGAACAGCTGGAGGTCATCGACCCAGACCTCAAAGTCAACAGCACGACCCTCAGTATCAAAGGTAAGAACACTTGGGGTAACCATAACTGCAGTGGCCTAGCAAGGAGTGAGCTCACCAGTCCGAGTAAGTAGGGCCGGGGCGCGCCGGTAGGACTAGGAGCGGCTCGACGGCAGGGCGGCTCGGCGGCTCGGCTGCTGGGCGGCTCGGCTGTCGGGCGACTCGGCGGGTCGGCTGCTGGGCGGCTCGGCGGCTCGGCTGCTGGGCGGCTCGGCTGTCGGGCAGCTCGGCGGCTCGGTTGCTCGGCGGCTCGGTGGCTCGGCGGCTCGACTGCTGTGCGGCTCGGTGGCTCGGCTGCTGGGCGGCTCGGCTATCGGGCGGCTCGGCGCCTCGGTTGGTGGGCGGCTCGGTGGCTCGGCTGCTGGGCGGCTCGGCGGCTCTGCTGTTGGGCGGCTCAGCTGCTGGGCCGCTCGATAGAGGCGGCGTTGGGGCCGCTAGGGGCGGCGACGGGGCCGCTTAGGGAGGGGAGCGGCGACGGGGCCATATAGTGGTGGCGACGGGGCCGCGTAAGAAGGGGAGGGCGGCGACGGGGCCGCGTAGAGGCGGCGAAAGGGCCGCGTAGAGGCGGCGACAGGGCCGCTTAGGGGCGGCGACGGGGCCGCTTAGGGGCGGCAGCGGGGCCGCTTAGGGGCGGCAACGGGGCCGCGTAGGGTGAGAGGCGGCGACGGGGCCGCTAGGGGCGGCGACGGGGCCGCGTATGGGCGGCGACGGGGCCGCGTAGGGTGAGAGGCGGCAACGGGGCCGATAGGGGCGGCGACGGGGCCGCTAGAGGCGGCGACGAGGCCGCGTAGGGGCGGCGACGGGGCCGCGTAGGGTGAGAGGCGGCGACGGGGCCGCTAGGGGCGGCGACGGGGCCGCTAGGGGCGGCGACGGGGCCGCGTAGGGGTGGCGACGGGGCCGCGAGGGGCGGCAACGGGGCCGCTTGAGGGGCGGCAACGAGGCCGCTAGGGGCCACTAGGGGCATGGAAAGGGCGGCGAAAAAGGCGCGCCTCGGGCAGGAGCGACTGGCGCTCCGATCAGAAAGGAAAATTTCAGTGGTGGGCCCAAGGAAGCGTTCCCACTAGGAAACCTGCTCTATACCATGTGAAGAATGAGGAATGAATGAACTAGCAAGCAGGTGGGTACAAGTAGGGAAACCTAGAAGTGTTGTACCCCATATTGTCTACCCCACTACAGCCTACACAGACTATAGCATCTGAGTTTGACAAAGGAGCAGGCAGGGGGGAGGCGGGCTGTAACTGTGACTGCGACTGGACAGGCGGTGGACACTCTAAGGGAGGAGCAGGACTAGTAGAAGGCGGAAGACCAAGAACCTGCTCAAGGAGCGGAACGAAGTACGGCCGCAGCCGCGCAGCGCCTCCAGAAACAGCAGGGACAGTGTGAGAGTACGGCGGCTTATGCCAGCTATGCTTGCTTGCCTTTACTTTATCATGCTATTTCTAGCATAGGATAATTATATGCATGCATGAATTGCTTGATTTTCTAGGCTAGGTGCTTTCCTATATTATAGTTATAGCACCGAGCTAGGTTGCGTGCACCGAATTCTGGCTTTTCGGTTGCCACCGAATTGCCTTCTACCAAATTCGGTAAGGATCTGTATGGGACGCTTCGCGACCCGCGGAACCTTCGCGTAACACCTGGTTACTGGGCCTTGTGTCGAGCCTATATATAGCCTCGCGTTGTACCCAGGTGATCATTCAATTCAATTCACATTCTCTTTTCTGAGCTCGATCCTAGATCCTCACAGACAGCACCAGTACCCCCAGCGGCAGCACCAGCGCCAGCAGCACCTCCTGCTCCAGCAGCGCCAACTCCAGCACCCTCAGAAGCACCAGCGCCAGCAGCACCCCCTGCGCCAACACCCCCAGCAGCTCCAGCTCCAGCAGCCCCAGCAGCACCTACCTCAGCAGGACCGCCAGCTCCAGCAGCGCCAGTAGCTCCAGCACCAGGAGCACCTCCAGGCCCAGCAGCTCCAGTCCCCCCAGCAGTACCAGCAGCTCCAGTACCTCCAGCAGCACCAACTCCAGCAGCCCCAGCAGCACCTCCAGTCCCAGCAGCTCCAGTACCGCCAGTACGAGCACCTCCAGGACCAGTGGCTCCAGTACCTCCAGCGCCGACCCCAGGGTCAGCAGCAACAGTAGCACCTCCAGCTCCAGCAGCACGGGTCCAGCGCCGGGCAAACCACTCGCGCAGCTCCTGTGGAGAGGGTAGCTCCCGCCGAGACGAAGCAACCGAAGGGCCCCCAGATCCAGCCCCGCCAGAGGCCACACGAGCAGACCCAGCACCCCCAGGCTCCGCACCCCTAGGCTCAGCACCCCCAGGCTCCGCACCTCCAGGCTCTGCACCCCCAGGCTCAGCACCTTGAGCCTCAGCACCCCCAGGCTTAGCACCCCCAGACTCAGCACCCCGAGCCTCAGCACCCCCAGGCTTAGCAACCCCAGACTCAGCACCCCCAGGCTCAGCACCCCTAGCAGCACCAGAGTCAACAGCTACCTCGACAGGCTCGACTGCGTCTACCTGGGACACACCTGACGGGGCAGGACCCTGACGGGGGAGAGGTTCTACCCGGGGGGGACCTGGCGCAAGGAAGAGCGGCGGCGCGGGGAGGGGCGCAGTGCGGTAGAGGAAGAGACGGTAGTAAGGAACCGACTCGTCAAAGGTGACGTCCTGGGAGGACAAAACATGGCGCGAGGTGGGGTGGTAAAACTACCAACAAGGCGCGTCAGGGGGGAAGCCAAGGAAGACGCAGGGAACAGCACGGGGGGACAGCTTGTCCGCAGACAAGTCGCGGACAAACGCCCGAGATCCCCAGACACGAAACGCAGATGCATCGCCAACCTTCCCCGTCCACTGCAAGGTGGGGGAGGTCTCTGGCAAGGAGACCCGGGGTTGAAGGTTGATCTGATGCGCTGCGTACCGAACCGCAAACGGCCACAGAAAATGGGGAGCAACCGCATGGATCATGGACGTACGTGCGACGTCCATGACCATGCCAATGCGGCGCTCAGCAATCCCATTTTGCTATGGAGAGGCCAGAAGCGTGAAGGTCTGGCGGATGCCCTATGCATGACAGAAGGCTCCCAGAAGGCCAGAGGAAAACTCCCCGCCTCTGTCAGAGTGCAGACGCAGAACAGGAAAGTTCGAGCCGAAACTCTCTCGGAGCTGGAAACGAGCTGCGCGGATCCAGTCGATCAACACCTCGGTGACGTCACCCTTGCTGCGCAAGGGGAACACCGTGGTGTAACGCGAGTAGTCATCAACCACCAACAGGAAGTAACGCTCGTGACCCTGGCCACAGACGCGGGCGGGGCCCCACACGTCCATGTGAAGAGTCTGCAGGGGAGCCTCTGTCGGAGGAAAATCGGAGGAGTGAGGGGCGGCGCGCTGCCGCCCCTCGACGCAGGGAACGCAGGTAGGGGCAGGCCCCGGAGGGAGGGGAGGGAGGGACCGGGGGAGACCAGAGACAAGGTAACGGGAGGCCATGCCTCGGAGACGAGGCAGGGAAGGGTGACCAAGGCGGTGGTGCCAGAGGAGAGTCCGGTGGGACAGGAGACGACACAAGCAGGGAGCAGACTCAGGACCAGACCTGGACGCTGCAGCAAACACCTGACCCGACGCAGCTACTTGACCAGACTCAGCAACCGGAGGAGACTCAGTAGTGAGCGTGTACAGGCTCGACCCCGGCTGACGGGTAAACGTGGCCAAGTGTCGGCCCGTCCGAGCACACGTGTAGTGGGTCACCCGCTGACTCGCAGGAGTGAACTGGTCAGCCCCCCCATCCTGTAGATCAGCACCACTCACCAAGTTTGTAGAGAACGAGGGGAGGTAAAGACGTGACAGGGTGCCAGAAGGGGCCGCCGGACACGGTAGGACAGTGGAGAAGTGGGCAAGGACAGGACCCCTAGAGGGGTCCGCCAGGGGGACCGCAACTGGCCGACTAAGCGGTGTAAGCGTGGTGCGGTCTCGAAAGAAGGAGCGGGAAGCACCCGAGTCAAGGGTGAAGGTGTGTAAGGCCTGAGCCGACGTGGTACCTGAGAGAGCAGACGCACCAGTACCTGGGGCAGCAGACTCACCAGCACCTGGAGCAGCAGACGCACTAGCACCTAGAGCAGCAGCCTCACCAGCACCTAGAGCAGCAGTCTCAATGCCCGGGTCAGGCGGAACACACAGGTAACAGTCACCCTCATCACTAGTAGGCAATGTATACATGGCAGTGAGGATAGCATCATAGTCAAGAGTATAGATATCTACCCTCAGCCTAAGCAGCTCCACCCAGTCGGGGAGCTCAGCCGCGTCGCCAAACTCCGTACGCCAGGCGTCGCTCACACGGGCGAAGCAGCGGGACTCTGCGTGACCAAACGTCCTGCAAGGCTGACCAGTCCGAGCACCAGTGCGAATGTAGTACGGACAGCGAGCAGTACCCCGTGACCCGTCACGCTGAGCGTACCACTCACGAAGCTGCTGGGGCAAAAGGACCGCGCACGGACGACGCTGCAGCTGCACCTGGCCACGACAAGCAGCTGCCGAACTACTCACTCCAGGACGACTCCCACTACGGCCACCCCGACAACCCCAAGTAGCGTACCACTCAGGATGCTGCTGGGGCGTGAGGGACTCATGCGGACGTCGCTGGAGCTACATCTGGCCACCGCCAGGAGCAGCAGGAGCAGTGGTAGCCGCAGTAGCAACAGCAGTAGCAATAGCAGTAGTCGCAGTACGGCCACCCCTACAACCCCAACTAGCGTACCACTCACGAAGCTGTTGGGGGGCAAGGGACTCACGCGGACGGCGCTGGAGCTGCATCTGGCCACGCCAGGAGCAGCAGTAGCAGTAGAAAGAGCAGTAGCAGCAAGAGCAGCAGTAACAGCAGTATGGGCAGGGCAGTGCTCACCAGTGGCGAGAAGGGCAGGCGTACGACGGCGGCAATGGCGAGGCCGCTACCACTATAGGGCTCCACGGCAGCTGCAGGGGCGGCTGCTGCTCCAGGGGCGGCTGCTCCAGGGGCGGCTGCTGTAGTGGTGGCTGCTCCAGGGGCGGCTGCTGCAGGGGCGGCTGCTCCAGGGGCGGCTGCTGCAGGGGTGGCTGCTCCAGGGGCGGCTGCTGCAGTGGCGGCTGCTCCAGGGGCGGCTGCTGCAGGGGCGGCTGCTCCAGGGGCGGCTGCTGCAGGGGCGGCTGCTCTAGGGGCGGCTGCTGCAGGGGCGGCTGCTCCAAGGGCGGCTGCTGCAGGGGTGGCTGCTCCAGGGGCGGCTGCTACATTGGCGGCTGCTCCAGGTGCGGCTGCTACAGGGGCGGCTGTTGCAGGGGTGGCTGCTCCAGGGGCGGCTGCTGCAGTGGCGGCTGCTCCAGGGGCGGCTGCTTCAGGGGCGGCTGCTCCAGGGGCGGCTGCTGCAGGGGCGGCAACTCCAGGGGCGGCTGCGGCAGTGGCGGCTGCTCCAGGGCGCGGGTTAGGGCAGGGCGCCGCGGCGGGCAGGGGTGACGCCACGCGGGTCCCGCAGGGGCGTCGCGACGCGCAGGAGCCGCGCCTCGCGGGTCTCGCAGGGGCGTCGCGACGAGGCGGGGGCGACGCGGCGGGGCCGCGACTGGCGACGGGGCGGGGCCGCGACAGGCGACGGGGCGGGGCCGCGACTGGCGATGGGGCGGGGCCGCGACTGGCGACAGGGCGGGGCCGCTACGGGCAGCGGGGCGGGGCCGCGAAGGGGCCGCGAAGGGAGTCGCGAGGGGGCCGCGAAGGGGCCGTGAAGGGGCCGCGAAGGGGTCGCGAAGGGGCCGTGAAGGGTCCGCGAAGGGGCCGCGAAGGGGCCGCGAAGGGGGCGTGAAGGGGCGCGAAGGGGCCGCGAAGGGGCCGCGAAGGGGCCGCGAAGGGGCCGCGAAGGGGCCGCGAAGGGGCCGCGAAGGTGCCGCGAAGGGGCCGCGAAGGGGCCGCGAAGGGGCCGCGAAGGTGCCACGAAGGGGCCGTGAAGGGGCCGCGAAAGGGCCGCGAAGGGAGGCCGCTAAGGGGCCGTGAAGGAGGCCGCGAAGGGGCCGCGTGAGAAAAATAGAACGAGAATGAAATGACTATGAATGAAGTGGGTACAAATAGGAAACCCTAATGGGATTGTACCCCTTATGGGATACCCCACTATAGCCTACACAATAGCATAAGCTATAATGTTCTGACACACCCCCATAGGAAAAGTGGGGGAGAACAAGGGGTCACAAGACCAGTCAAGCAAAGCAAAGCAAAGCTCAGGGTGGATCACAAAGTCACCACACATTCCGAGCACAAGTTCAAAGGCCAGAAGGCCAGTTCACATGCAAGATCACATATAGAGATATACAAGAGTCAAGCAAGCAAGAGCAAGAGTATATATAGGTAAAGGTACAAGCAAGGTCAAGAAGTGAGCAAGTGAGGCAAGAGAGGCACAAGACCCAGCTGCGTGCAGCAGCGCTGATGATCACAAGGCGCAAGTGCCTTGGTGAAGACATCAGCAGTGTTGGCCTCAGAGGCCACGTACGCAAGTCGCAACTGTCCACGCTGCTGTAGCTCACGAGCAAGAAAGTAGCGGAGAGCAATTTGCTTTGTCCTGTGCTCCAGTCGCTGCTCTCGACACAAGGCCAGCATGGCCTTGTTGTCTACGTACAGGACTGGAGGAGAACGAGGCGGCTCTCCAAGGTCGGTCAGCACGTAGGTGAGCCAGCGAAGCTCCTGGGCCGCCATAGCCCCGGCGTAGATCTCAGCCTCACAACTGGAGCCGAGAACAGAAGACGAGCGGGTAGCCCGCCACGAAACAGAGCCGGAACCAAGGTTGAAGGTGTAACCCTGTGACGACCGCTGCGTAGCCTGGTCGTCAGCCCAAGAAGCGTCCGCGTGCCCAGTGAGGACCACTGGACTGCGCCCTCCAAGCACTAGCCCCATGCCCGACGTACTGCACAAGTAGCGCAACACCCTCTTCGCTGCAGCCATGTGCTCTGGTCGGTGTCTCCCAGGAGCAACATAGCGTGCGAGAATGCTAAGAGGGTATGCAAGGTCAGGTCGTGTGCAGGTCATCAGGTACATAAGGCAGCCAACAAGCTCTGCATACGGGCCACTCGACTCTACGGACTCATCCGAAGGCAGAGCTGAGAGCGAGTGGTGAGTAGGCAGAGGAGTGGCCTGAGGCGAGGAGTACGTGAAGCCGAAGCGCTGAAGGACCTGATGCACCATGTGTGACTGAGTCAGGGTGATGGTGCGGCGTGCTCTGTCCCGGGTGATCTGCAAGCCAAGGTAGCTGCGCAGTTCACCTAGGTCAGTGCACGTGTGTCTCTTCTGCAGCTCGGACTTCACGTAGGCGAGTCCAGCTGTGTCAGCTGTGGCAAAGACCAAATCGTCGACGTACACGAGGATGTAGAACGGCGGCAGAGAGGTGTCGGTGCGCAAAAACAGCGACGGGTCTGCAGTGGAAGGAGCAAACCCAAGTGCCGCCAGCGTAGTCCTCAGTGTGTCGTGCCACTCACGCGGCGCCTGGCAGAGACCGTAGACTGGACGCCGGAGACTCCACTGGGTACCAGGAGGGAAAGACCCAGTGAAGCCAGGTGGGCGACGCAGCCAGATCTCCTCGTGCAGGCTGCCCTGCAAGAAAGCAGTGCTGAAGTCGAGAGAGTGCAGCTCGTAGTCGCGGTGAGCAGCAACGTGCAGCAGTACCCGAAGAGTGGTCATCTTCGGGGTGGGGGAGAAGGTCTGAAAGTAGTCAACTCCCTGCCGCTGACTGAAGCCACGAGCCACGTAACGCGCCTTGAAGACAGGCGGAGAACCCGGCGGCCGCTTCACCCTGAAGATCCACATGCCACTGACAATGTTCGCCCCAGGAGGGGGGACAGCGTCAACGTAGGTGCCTGTGGACTTCCAGGAAGCCATCTCTGCATCCATAGCTGCCTGCCACTGAGAGGAGTAGGGACCCTCTATCGCCTCCGCGTAAGAGCGCGGAGTCGGGATCTCTAGTGCATCCGGGTCTCCCTCAGGGGTGAGCAGTACAGACGCTAGATGAGGTGAAGCGGCGGCCAGACACTGGAACTCCTCCTGCCTGTCCTCTAGGACGTCCGTGCCAAGGGCACACTCACCCCCGACGGACGGAGGACAGGCAGACTCAGACTGAGCGACAAGACTAGCAGCGTAGTCTAGACGACAGCACGCAGCAAAGTCGACGAGCTCAGTAACAAGGGCGGACGCAGCAGAAGACTCGAAAGAAGGGTCATTGACGGCAGTAGCAAGGAGACGCGTGACAGTAGGACTGGCAGCACGAAGAAAGTCCGACTCCGGGTCGGCAAGAGCAGGAAGAGAGGAAGCAGGAGGAGAAGGCAAAGGGGCACGCAGAGGAGCAGTGGATGGACACAGAGACATCCGGTGCGTGCCAGGGACAGGAGGAGGACGCTGACGCAAACCACGACCACTAGTGCGCGCAGCACGAACAGGCGACGCAGGACGTGACGCAGGCTCACGACGCTCAGTAAGACCTCCAGTCGGACCAGTGTAGGGAGAAGGAGCAGGCAAAGGGGAGGCAGGCTGTAGCTGTGACTGTGACTGGACAGGCTGTGGACCCTCTAAGGGAGGAGGAGGAGGAGGACCAGGAGAAGGTGTAAGACCAAGAACCTGCTGCAGAAGTGGAACGAAGTACGGTCGGGGTCGCGTGGCGACGCCAGAAACAGAAGGGACAGCACCAGTACCCCCAGCAGGAGTACCCGCTCCAGCAGCACCTCCAGTAGCTCCAGAACCCCCAGCAGCACCTCCAGCAGCCCCAGAACCTCCAGCAGCACCAGGAGCCCTGCCAGTCGGACCGCCAGCTGTAGTCTCGGCGCCAACACGCTCAGCAGCACCAGCTCCAGGAGAACCCGCAGGCCCAACAGCTCCAGTACTCCCAGTACGAGCACCTCCGGGACGCGCGGCAGCAGCACCCTCAGCAGCCGAAGAACCTCCAGCACCAGCAGCACGCCTCCAGCGCCGGGCAAACCACTCACGCAGCTCCTGTGGGGAGAGTGGCTCTCGGCGAGACGAAGCACCCGGACAACCTCCAGGCGAAGAACCTCCAGTCTCAGCACTCCCAGGCTCAGCACCCCCAGGCGCAGCACCTCGAGTCTCAGCACCCCCAGGCTCAGCACCCCCAGGCTCAGCACCCCCAGGCTCAGCACCCCCAGGCCCAGCACCCCCAGGCTCAGCCTCCCCAGGCTCAGCACCCTCAGACTCCGCACCCCCAAGC